TGTGTCTGTATTTAATTTTCCTGATATAGCACATCCTTGAAAACATCTTGGAGATCTGATCTGGTGGTGGTAAATTCTTTTAGGTTTTGTTTATCTGAGAATATCCTTGTCTTTTCTTCCCACATGAAAGATAATCTTGCTGGGTACAGTATTCTTGGCTCAAATTGCTTTTTTCTGAACACTTTGAACATATTTTCCCATTCTTTCCTTGCTCACATTGTTTCCGATGAGAGGTTCTGCTGCTATCCTGATGGGATATACTTTGTAGGCAATTTGATGTTTTTCTCTTGCCAGTCTTAGTATCTTGTCTTTGTCTGTGGTTTTGGTCAACCTGGCTATAATGTGTCTTGGAGAAGATCTTCTTGGGTTGATTCTATTTGGGGTCCTTTATATTTCCTGGGACTAGATTTTTGAGTGTCTCTGTATGTTTGGAAAGTTTTCTTTCAGGATTTCATGGAATAGATTATCAATGCCTTTATAAGTCTCTTTGCCTTCTGGAATGCCAATCATATGGATATTTGGACATTTGATGGTATCTAATATTTCTCGTATATTATTCTCATTTTGGGGGGCAATTTTCTCAGTTTTTGTGGTGGATTTTTCTAGGCCAGCAATTTTCTCTTCTATGTCTGAGATTCTATTTTCTGTATGATCTAGTCTGCTTTTAATACTTTCAAGGGAGATTTTGACTTCCTGTAGTATAGCCTTCATCTCTAACAGTTCCATTTGATTCTTTTTTAAAGTGTATAATTCCTTTTTTAGATCTCGCAAGAATTTCCTCACCTCCTGGAACTTCTCAGCATTTTTCTCCTTTCTCTTCTGCAGTTCATTGTCTCTCTTCTCTTCCATGTCTGTTAGCTTCGCCATTATGAACGTTCTAAATTCTTTATCAGACATGAATGGGAGTTATTTTTTTCCCTAGGAGGAGAGGTATTTTCTTGCTTTCCCATATCGTGAAGAGCAGTTATTCTTTTTCTTTGGAGGAGAGATATTTTTTTTGCTTTCCCATATTTCTTTTGGTCCTGTGGTGATTTCTAGTCATCTGATGGATGGTGTGTTTC